CGGGTCCCCGTGGGCGCTCCGGCGGCTTCCATTGTCTGCGACGCTCATTCATGATGTCACTCTTGAGCGCCTTCAATTCGTCTTTGACTGCCTGGATCTCACGCATGAACTCGTTTTTCGTGACAACATTTGCTCCAACGTTCGGTTCCGCTCCTAGCAGCTTCATCATGAGTGGTCTGTGAATGCGCACCACGCCCTGGTCTACGTGTAGACCCTTGAAGAGTTCGCTGGGCTCGACGGTGATCCACTCTCCTTGATGGCGGTTCATGTCTTGCAGCGGTCAGTCGTTGGGTAACGAAACCGAATTTACTGCGCATGCCGACCAATCCCGCGGCGTATACTAGAATGCAGTCGTCATCAATTCCACTCTCTAGGTGCTCTGTCGTCTGACTCTACCCACGCCGGGGTATAGACGCAGTGTGTGTTGAGCCAGTCCACTTGACGGGAACCATGGTAGACACTTAGAATTCCACCATAATTCTGGTAGAGGCTTATCAGGTTCGATATCATACCTTTGAGTAGTGTAAGCCTCACTGGTCATTTTATCAGTGGGATTATCACCACACACCTCAACTGTACATTTTGCCGATTTTTCCAATTTTCTTAGTTCTGATCCATGTGATATATGGCGGGTTCTTAGAATACCATCGTAATTCTTGTAATGGCTTATCGGATTCGATATCATAACTTCTGAGCAGTGTAAGCTTTCTTGATTATTTCGCCAATGCGGTTGTAACCACGCCCGTCAACTGCGCGTTCTACCGCTTTTTTCCAGTCTTTGGCTCCTGTCCGTATGATATATGGTAGACCCTTAGAATTCCACTATAATTCTGGTGTTGGCTTGTTCAGCTCAGTTTCGTACTTTTTAAGCAGTGTAGGCCTTTCTGGTTATTCTGCCAATGCAGCTGTGATCATGCCCTTCGGCAGCACGTTTTGTCGCTTTTTCCAATCTTCCTAGCTGCCGTCCACATGGTAATATCTGTGGCGGACTCTTATAATTCCAGCATAATTCTGGTAGTGGCTTGTCAGGTTCGGTATCATAATTTTGGGCAGTGTAAACCTCCCTGATTATTCTATCAGTAGGGTTATCCCCGCACACCTCAGTTGTACATTTTGTCAGTTTGCAATCTACCTAATTCTGGCCAATCTTGCACGCATTCAGCGTCC